ATCAGAAATCGCGCAGCGACGAGGTATGACCGATGCCTAAAGCGTTACAGTCGCCGCCGCAATTACTGTCTGGATCTTTACGCAAACGTTTACTGCCAGATAATGTTAGAGCTCAATTTCGAGTAGATTTCAGAAATCATTCTGTATATCTGAGTATTTATGACAGTGAAGAAGTTACAGTAAAAAGTCGAAGATTTAGGAAGATCGACAGCAAACGAGAGCTGAACAAATGGCACTTCATAGACGTAACGAGCCTGCAGATAAGCGTAAAAAGCGGTTAGCAGATAATGCCGAAAACACCAGATTGAAAAGAATGAAAGAGACCGAGGAACAGAGAACAGAACGCCTTGCGAAAAATGCGGAAAGAGCTAGAATAAGAAGATCAGCGGAAACTGTAGAGCAGCGATCACTGCGTTTGCGCGCATCGGCAGACGCCAGAAGAAATCGACGCATGCACTATCTGGATCAGAGTAATAATGAAGGAAGCAGCGCAGATGCAAGAGTAGAAGATCCGGAAGACAGTACCATGGTCAGTTCTCTCAATGTGGAGATACATCTAAACAAAAAAGTTATCGTTAAGGGCCTTTCTTCCGACGTTGTTTTGCATAGTGCTACTTCTGTTGCTGCTTTTACCGAAGACGCCTCTACAACATCTTTCTCAAGAGTAGATGCAGAAGTAGTACATAACATTGGCGAGGTGGCAGTCCAGATCGATCCTACCAAAGACGGAAATTATCAACGCAGTGTATCTGTCAGTGAGACTCATCTGGATGACAGTGCTATTTTGGTCAGTACGATAAAGTTGAATACGATTTTAACATTTTTTTAAGCGCAATGATTTCGACCCTACATCGTCCATGTCTGCCGAGATGCCTTTTGGAAAACTAGCCGTCCGGGTACGCCAGAAGAACAGTCCTCGCATACGAAACCTTTAATACTTTTTAGGATTCGTATGATGAGTATGCTCCAACTCCTCCTACTGCTTTGGGAGTAAACTGGAATGGAAGCAGTGAAAGCAACCTTGATACTGCGACCGTTCAAAATGTTGTGCCCTTCGAATATGGATGTTTGAATGAATTCGAAAATATGGTGAGTTTGCAACTCCTCCATTTGTTCCAGTTTATCGTTCATATCTTTACAGGAACATCTGTCGAACTGTTCATGTATTGTTTCCGCGACAACTATGGAACAGTCCGCAATCCAGGTAAGATAATTAAGGCAGTCTTCGACGATCATAGCTTTATGGCAGAAGGTTGGATTAAAAATGTTCAGCTGAATTCTACTCGAAACCCTGAACAACGCCGTCGGCTGCCGCGCAATTTTGGTATAGCCTTGACGAATTATGACGCAGAAGAGAACTATTTGGGATCTATGAACATCAGCTGCAACCGCTGCGGCGCTCTTTTCTTCTCCAACGAGGCCAAACGCACTAACGGATGCTTCAATATCTGCTGCAATTTCGGCAACATCTCCTTAGATTTGTTCGCAAATTTTCCGGAACTTCTCCGTTCATTCTACACTGGAACAAGCAGCCTCTGCAAGAATTTTCGCGAGCACATCCGATCTTATAACAGCGCACTTGCCATGGCTTCAATGGGTGCTCAGGTAGATACTCCTCGTGGTTCCGGGCCATACTGTTACAGGATACATGGACAGATTTATCATTACGTAGGCCCTGTGACGCCACCGGAAGGTGTACGTCCACAGTTTGGACAAGTGTATATCTTGGACACAGACACCGCAGCAGCCGAAAGAAGCGGGAATCCTGCAAATGCACGCTGTGACGCCATTGTGATGCAGCAGTTGACCTCATGGTTACATGCTAATAATAGCTACGCGGCTTCGCTCAAGATGATGGGAGATGTAGCGGCAGAGGAAGAGCAACGAGCCCGTGAGCAGGGAAGACAGTTACCAACAATTCGCCTTATCTTCGATGACGCTCCTAATCTAGATCGTCGCCGTTATAATGTACCTGCCGCTAACGAGATCGCCGTCGTTTACGTTGGCGAAGATGGTGATATACCATCAAAGCGCGCTCTTGCTATTCATCATCGGGGAGGAGGACTGCAGAAAATACCAGACATCGATGGCCGTTGCGACCCACTCACCTACCCTCTGTTATTCCCTAGAGGAGGACTAGGGTGGCATGTCGATTTGACCAAAAACCCAAGTGGTCGCATTCGCACGCGAATAAGTCAACGCGAGTTCTACTCATATTTGCTTGCCATACGCCAATCCTTCAACCCGCTTCACCACGCCGGAAAACTCTTGCAGCAATTCGTGGTCGATGCGTACGTTAAGATTGAGCAAAATCGACTAAATTATACGCGTACACACCAGAAAGAGTTGCGAATCGACAGCTATAGGGGACTCATGGATCACCTGACCAGCGATAACGTGGATGGA